TTTCTTGCTTTTGTCATTTTTGGTCTCTCCTTTCCACTCAAAGAGTTCCCCCCCTTTTTTTTTTTAATTTTTTTTTCAACGTTTATTTATTTTTGGGACAGAGAGACACAGAGCATGAACTGGGGAGGGGCAGAGAGAGAGGGAGACACAGAATCGGAAACAGGTTCCAGGCTCTGGGCCATCAGCCCAGAGCCTGATGCGGGGCTCGAACTCCCGGACCGCGAGATCGTGACCTGGCTGAAGTCGGACGCTTAACCTACTGCGCCACCCAGGCGCCCCAAAGAGTTCCCTTTAATATTTCTTGCAGGGCTGGTTTAGTGGTAACAAACTCCTTTGGTTTTCTATTGGGAAACTCTTTATCTGTCCTATTTTGACTGATAGCCTTGCTGGATAGGATATTCTTGGTGGCATATTTTTCCCATTCACGGTTTTGAATATATCATGCCACTCCCTTCTGACTTGCCAAGTGTGTGTTGAGAAATTTGCAGCTGGCCTTATGGGGTTTCCCTTGTAATTTGAGTTCTTTTATCTTGCTGCTTTTAAGATTTTTTATTTTATCACTATATTTTGAAAATTTAATTAGAATATGTCTTGTTGGTGGCCTGCTTTTTTTTGATTTTAATGGGAGTTCTCTGTGCCTCTTGGATTGGGATGTCCGTTTCCTTCCCCAGATTAAGGAAGCTTTCAGCTCTCCTTTCTTGAACTACACTTTCTGTCCCCTTTTCTCTCTCTTATTCTTCTGGAACTTGTAAAATATGCATGTTCTTACATTTGATGGAATCAACGAGTTCCCTACAGGGAAAGCCTATTCTTGTGATCCATAATTCTTTCTCTCTTTTATTCAGCTTCACTATTTTTCCATTATTTTCTCTTCCATATCACTTGTTCATTCCCCTGCTTCTTCCACCTGCTCTTCATTTCATCAAGCCTGTTTCCCATCTCATTTATTGCATTCTACCTCTCTCATTGATTCCTTTTTAAAAACTCTTTTATCTCTGCTGTAGGGGTCCCCTGATGTCTTCCATTCTTTTCTCAAAACTAGTGAATATCCTTATGATTGTTGCTTTAAATTCTCCATCAGGCCTGTTACTTACATCTGTCTCACTTAGATCACTGGTTGTGACATTATCTTGTTCTTTCAATTGCATTTTTTCTTTCTTTTTTTTAATATATAATTTATTGTCAAATTGGTTTCTATACAACATCCAGTGCTCATCTCAACAGGTGCCCTCCTCAGTGCCCATCACCCACTTTCCCCTCCCCCCCACCATAAAACTTCAGTTTGTTCTCAGTTTTTAAGAGTCTCTTATGGTTTGCCTCCTTTCCTCTCGTAACTTTTTTTCCCTCTTCTCCTCCCCCATGGTCTTCTGTTAAGTTTCTCAGGATCCACATATGAGTGAAAACGTATGGTATCTGTCTTTCTCTGCCCGACTTATTTCACTTAGCACAACACTGTCCGGTTCCACCCACGTTGCTGCAAATGGCCAGATTTCATTCTTTCTCATTTGATTTTTTCTAAGTCTGCCTTCTTCTCTGTGTTAGAAAAGTTCTTATGTCTCCTTCTCATGAAAGTAATGGCCTTAGGAAGAAATGGTCATGTAGAAGCTTCAGGGAGTGCCTCCAGTATGTGCTTCATGTGCTCTGCTGTTGTGTTTTGGCTGCTGTATCTTTCAGGCCAGTCGTCTGCAGAGCCTGTCCTTGCTTCCCATGGACAGTGGTTGGTCCCTGGTCTGAATGTGGTGAGTTTAACTAGGTGTGCTCTGGTTGGCTTGTTAAATGACACCTGACACCAGCTCCACCAGAACTGAGGTCCTGCAGAACTCTCTGGTCAGGAGATGTGGTGGCTTGTGCTGGACTTCTGAGCGATGGGGCTTGCCACAGTGGGGCTGAGGCAAGCTTGTCTGAGAAGGACCATCCTGCCAGGGTACAGGGGGGTGCAGCTTGGTGAGTCAGTTTAGGCAGCCAGTGCCCATGTGGCACTGTTTCCCATAGGTGACTCTGTGTTCATGCTGAGGGGAGGAGGAGGGAAATGTCACTGATCAGCTCCTTAGTTCCTGGAGAGGTGTCTCCCTGAATTCTTACAGATGTACTGATTAACTTATAGGGGCTCAATATATTTTAAGGATTTATTATAACTTAGCATAATGGTCTGAGAATATGCAATTCTTTAAGAGAAATAAGAGGGAGGTTAATTATTTAAAATATTGGTTTATTTTGCAGCCCTAATGCAGGAGAAACTTAAGCCAAAGGAAAAATAGAACTAAAGATACACATAAAAACAAACAATTATAGGTATAAGATATAATATTTTCCTAAGAGTCCATTGCTAGTCTACTTTTGGTATACTTATTATTGAAGTTAGCAAATGACTTAATATTTATCCTAATGTTATTAGTTAAAGCCTCTTGCCAAGACTAAAAATAAACTTTCAAAATACAAGAATAATGGGTGAGGTGGCCAGACCTGTGTACCTCAGGGACACAGAACTTATGTTCTTTCTGTTGACACTTTATGTGGGCTGATGAACTGTTTCTGGAGGCACCTGTAAAGGAGATTGATGTGGGTGAAAGGACATTGACAGTATCCTACATCACATTATATTTTATGTGAGGCATTTCTGTGTTCTGAGTGGGAAAGTAAAAATTATCCAGTGACTCCTCCTCTTCACATTTCAAGAATTATGAGGTGACAGAGGAGAAAATATTATATATGTGATTGATTATACTTCTTTTTTTTTAATTTTTAAAAAAATTTTTTTTCAACGTTTATTTATTTTTGGGACAGAGAGAGACAGAGCATGAACGGGGGAGGGGCAGAGAGAGAGGGAGACACAGAATCGAAACAGGCTCCAGGCTCTGAGCCATCAGCTCAGAGCCTGACGCGGGGCTCAAACTCCCGGACCACGAGATCGTGACCTGGCTGAAGTCGGACGCTTAACCGACTGCGCCACCCAGGCGCCCCATATACTTCTTAAATTATAGGGTCTTTTAGAGAAAGGTTTCAGATCACAGAAAATATCAAAGGGCAATTAAAAGGTCATCATATTTCACCATAAAAAGCTAACTACTATATTACAATAATTGGAAATGAAAAGTTATTCATTCTATGAAATTCCACTACATAAAAATGTATGAATCTACATTTCTCAAAAATTACACAAATCCATGATTCTCTAGATATCTAAGGCAAATCCTAACTAAACTCAAGCTAGTCATTGAGATTGAGACAGCGTGGAATAAATGTTTCATGAGTGAAGAAGTAATGAATAAAACTGTTTTATTACCTCTAAATGCTTTAATTTGTTTCTTCTCACTTTCTTGTGTCATGGTAAAGAAGAAATAACTTCAATAATGAAGACCCATTATTCAGGATAAATGTTTGTATGGCATCAAAAGAGATTTGATGTATAATATTTGTACATTATGATGTTACATGCACCACACAAAGTAAATGAAATCATCCATTCAGGTCTATATTTCTGAAGACGCAAGCATTAGCATAGAAAATAAAAACTAGATAAACAAAACACTTCCTAAGGGTCTTTAGAATAAATCACATGTCTTCACATTTATATTTATAGCTCTTGGTGTTATGTTACAAACAAAAATAAAAATTCCTAATGTCCCAATTTCCCTGAAGATATGCCAATGATGAAAGTAATAAAAGAGCTAAGTAGGATGGGTATAGTATTGTTTGCATCCACAGAATGTTCATATACACCAACTATTCTATTAATTCTCTCTATGCCCTAGGAATTACTTGCCTCAGTAGAAATTAAAGACAGATTCCCACCAATAGTGCATTAGGGTTCCTTTTTCTTCACATTCTCACCAACACTTGATATTTCTTGAATTTTTGATTTTAACCATTGTGACAAGTGTAAAGTGATCTCTTATTGTGGTTTTAATTTGCATTTCTCTGATGCTTAGTGATGTTGAGCATCTTTTCATGTGTGTTGCCTATCTGTTCATCTTCTTTGGAAAAACACATATTCAAACCCTCTGCCCATTTTCAAATCAGATGATGATGATGATGATGATGATGATGATGATGATGATTTTTGGTGTTGAGTTGTGTAAATTCTTTATATATTTTGGATATAATATTTCAATATTTCTTCTTCCACTCACTAGTTTGCCTTCTTGTTTTGTTGATTGTTTCCTTTGCTGTTTAAACCCTTTTAATTTTGTTGTAGTCTCAATAGTTTAATTTCCTTTTGTTTTCCTTATCAGAGGAGACATATTTCAAAAAATGTTTCTCTGGCTGATGTCGAAGGAATTACTATCCTCATGCACTGTTGGTGGGAATGCAAATTGTTACAGCCACTGTGGAAAAACACTATGGAGTTTCCTTGAAAAAATTAAAAAAGAATCACCATATGATCCAGTATTCCAGTAAAAACACTAATTTGAAAAGATATAGGCACCCTCTGTTTACTGCCAAGATATGGAAGCAATCGAAGTGTCAATTGATAGATGAGTGGATAAAGAAGGTGTGGTATATGCATAATGGAATATTACTCAGCCATGAAAAGAACAAAATCTTGCCACAAAATCCACCATAACATGGTTGAGTAAGAGCATGTAATGCTGGGGCGCCTGGGTGGCGCAGTCGGTTAAGCGTCTGACTTCAGCCAGGTCACGATATCGCGGTCCGTGAGTTCAAGCCCCCCGTCGGGCTCTGGGCTGATGGCTCAGAGCCTGGACCCTGTTTCTGATTCTGTGTCTCCCTCTCTCTCTGCCCCTCCCCCGTTCATGCTCTGTCTCTCTCTGTCCCCAAAAAAATAAATAAACGTTAAAAAAAAAAAAGAGCATGTAATGCTAAGTGAAATAAGTCAGTCAGAGAAAGACAAAGACCATATGATTTCACTCATATGTGGAATTTAGGCATCAAAGCAAATGAGCAAACAAAGAAAAGAAAGAGATAAAAAATAGACTCAAGTATAGGGAATTAGTAATTTCTAGAGGGGAAGTGAGTGAGGAGATGGGTGAAATAGATAAAGGGGATTGAAAGTACACGTGATGAGCATTGATAAATGTGTAGAATTGTTGAATCACATTGTATACCTAAAACTAATATAACACTGTGTGTTTATTGCACTTGAATAAAACAAGGAAAGACAATTAGAAAATGTTTTTCATTGTCTTATCCAGGGTAATACGATTCTATGCCTTTTGGTCTCTCTTTGATTTTGTAGATTCACGGTCAACTCTCACCAGTTTCCTCAATGCATTCTTCATGTCCTTGTTCCGCAGGGTATAAACGAGAGGGTTAAGACTTGGAGTGACGATCGTGTAAAAGAGGGTGAGGAACTTTCCCTGGTCTTTGGAGGCACTGTTACCTGGTTGCAGGTACATGTAGATAATAGTTCCATAGAAGATGGACACGACAGTGAGATGAGATCCACAGGTATTAATTGCTTTTTGTTGGCCTTCTTTTGACTTTATTCTCAGCACAGCTTTGGCGATGTAGCCATAGGATATAAGAATAAGGCCGAGTGGTGTAAGGACAATGACAATGCCCAAAGCAAAAACAGACATTTCAACTGTTGTGGTGTCTATACATGCTATCTTGACCATAGCTGGCAACTCACACAAGAAATGGTCCAGAAGGTTGTTTCCACATCGAGGCAAATTCAGGGTGAGTGTACATAATAATACAGAATTGGCCAAACTAATGCTCCAGACCGTGATTATCATCTTGAGACAGAGATGTGGATTCATGATTACCAAATAATGCAGGGGTTTACAAATAGCTGTGAAACGATCATAGGACATAACAGCGAGGAGGAGACACTCAGTGGAACCCAACCACATATAAATGTAGAGTTGAGTGACACAGCCCACATAGCTGATGGTCTTGTCAGGTCCCCACAAGTTAACGAGCATCTGAGGGATGATGCTGGTTGTGAAACATAGATCCAGGAAAGATAAGTTCCTGAGGAAAAAATACATCGGTGTGTGGAGACGGGAATCCAGGAGAGATGCAAGGATGATGGCTGTGTTACCCACCCACGTAACGAAGTAGAAGAGAGTGACAACTCCTGATAGGACCATCTCCAGTTTGGGATGGTCCGAGAAGCCGAGCAGAATAAAACCGTGCAGAGAAGTGTGATTGTTTTGGCCCATAGTCCTTCAGTGTCCAAATCCTAGAATGAGAAAAGCAGAAGGAGG